TGGACTTTTTTTTGACAAATAATGTATTAACTTGCTACAATCCCGTTTAACCAATTTTTAAAAAAAGAACTTAAAAATCTCTGGTAAATCGCTTGAGGGTTAAAAATTTCTACCCTTGCATTTTTATCGGTAATATACCTAAAATATATATTCCAAGGAATCTCAATTCTAAATATTCCAAGAATGTGGAAGAGGGGAACCAGCCCGCCTCTGTTTAGGTAACTATGCGATATAAACTTTAAACACGTTGATACGCGTGGCTTCTATTTTAGCTTTACTTTCATAATCTATTTGATTTTTCCTGCAATAATTTTGTATGACCTGACTTATTATTTGGTAATTTTTTCCTTGTAATAACCAATTATTTTTCACATACTGGTAATGCAGAATGTTTGTTTACTTTGATCTTTAGGGGTTATTCGTTTTTTACTGATCTCATGTGCTACATGTTCCTAGTATATTTTCGCTGAATATAAACAATTCCGCGGAATAAATCCAAGAAGAATCAGATGTTTTATATTTCGTTTATATTCCACTCCACTGTGCGGGGTGTGTGTGTGTGTGTGTGACACCTGTGAGTACGTGCCTATTTGTTTGGGGTTTGGTTCATCGCAACAAAAACAACAAACACTTAGTTCGTATTGTTGTTGTCGCTGACTTGGTTACAAGTTTTTTTTTTTCGTTTTGACAATATCATACAATTGTTGTTTTTGTTTGCACCGAAACACTGTTGACTAGCCGTCTAATCGGAATCGCGGGGAGAGATAGTGAATATTTTGTGTTTATTTTTTCGTTCATTCACTTTGGCAAATTTTTAAAAATAAAAAAAAACAAAGTTTGTTCGTTCGTCTGCGTCTCTTATATTCGATTGCCATATAAAAATATAGCTAAGTATGTTTGCATGTTTGTTGATACATTGTGCACAGAAATAGGTCACTTTCGTTGAGTTTTGTTTTGTCGGAGATTCATAATTCGTCTCGTGTTATGATTCATGCACAGCGAAACATTGTGAGAGACTTTGCTCTCAGAGACACATATGTATGTTTGTTTTGTATGCTCTGTTTTGCTGTATTTTCCCATTTATTGTATATTCGGGATGAGATGAGATCGGTATGTTAGAGTTGCCAGATAGATGGGTTTGAGTTAGACTTTACTACTTATACATGTGATCAGGCGATTAAGAGCCTATTTCTCTTAAATATTTTAAAGTCGCTGTTTGATAGGATTTTCTTATTTTATTCATTGGTTGATTGACAGTATAAATTAATAAAAAACCAGTAAAGGAAGGCCTAAAGTCGGGCGGGGTCGACTTCAAAGGACTAAATATGCCGAAGCATTTGTTTCTTTTAAATTCGGACTTGTATTGCCCATTTGATGCAAAATTAATTTGAAATCAGATGAAGATATATATGGGAGCTATATCCAAATCTGAGCTGATCTCGATAAAATTTGGCAACAAGATATTTCTGAGCTCTATTTGATAAATTTCCCTGAATATCGTTGTTACGGAGTGAATATTATGGCTGTGGGTAACAAATACAACAAATCGGATGAAAAATATGTATGGGAGCTATAGCTATATCGATCTTCACCAAATTTAGCACACTAGCTTCTAGACTCAAATGTGCAGCATGTGCCAAATTCCATCCCATTTGGGCAAATATTAGACGATTTGTGTACAAGAAAAGGCAAATCGGAATAAAATATATATGGGACCTATATCCAAATTTGAACCGATCTCGATAAAATTTAGCAAACGTATTTCTGAGCTGTATTTGGTATTTTCCCTAAAATATCGTTGTTGCAGAGTGCATATCACGGCTGAGGAGGGCAAAAATAACAAATCGAATGAACAATATATATGAGAGCTATAGCTATATCTGAACCGATTTCGATAAAATTCGGCATTTTTATTTTCAGGCCTAATCTGGTCGTATGTGCAGAATTCCATAATATTTAGGCTAATATTACACGTTTGGTGCACAGTAAAAGGCAAATCGGACAAAGATATATATGGGAGCTATATCTAAATTTTGACCGATTATCTCCAATTTCAAAAGGGGTTCGTCCTTGGGCCAAAAAAATGATTTGTGCAAAATTTCATCTGGATAGGGCAATAAATACGAACTGTACTTTGTTTACAAAAATACATGGACAGACGGACAGAGAGAATGTGATTCTATGCAGATCATCAAAAGGAAGTATGAGTCTATCTCGTTTCCTTTTTTCCTGTTACAAACAAATACACAAAGACATAATACCCTGACCACCTTGTGGTGTAGGGTATAATGAAATGACGATTACCATTGTTGTATGGGGAAACAGTTTTGGAAACTCCTGCTACACATGCACTACCAATAATGTACTACATGTTTTTCAACAATATTGAATTATTTGAAACCAGGGTTACAGGTTATATATCTTAAAACTGAAATGTTTTTGCAAGTAACCTTAAAAATTTACTTTTATTAACACAACCTATATTGAAATATATTTTAAATATCGGGGCTCAAAAAGTACTGAAATTTAGCCCAGGGTTCATCTCGGGGACTTTGCTTAAATATACAAAAATACAGGGCACAAATCTTTGAAGAAAGGGTCATACTGCTTAAGGAAATATATTAGCACAAGGATCAGCCTGAGTTTTTGAAAATTCTTACTAAACGAGTACGAAAAGTACGACAGACCCTCAGCCTATGTTCGATTACTTAAATATATATTAACTTGTGTTATAATTATTCAAATTGTTGGCCCTGAATAGGCTAATATCGTCCATTTCGTATAGGATAAAATTTTTGCGACGTGTCAGGTTTGGACCATATCGACTACTTCCTTTACTTTGTATGGTATATGTGATAATTTTTAGAAAATGTTAAAATGTGCGTGAGTTTCCAGTCTACCGAAGTATTCCATTTTCGTCTTCATTTTATACCGATAAAAATATTGGTACAGATAATATTATAAGAAAATCGAACATTTATATCCAATTTTATGCGATATAATCATCTCAGGGGAGATAAATATACCCAGAAGGAGTTCGCAGATATACAGGTTGAGAAAAAACTGCGACAAAGTCACATGCCATAATTTTTACATTTTTTTTAAATTTTATTGAATGAAAGCCAAAAATGTCGAAAATAGCATCAAATTTTAGAATAAGTTTAGATTTGTTCGAATTGATCACCTTTGGCATGAATTATGACCTTCTTGAATTATGGGCAATGAAACCGTCAAACTCTGCCCGAATGTTGCTCTGCGCCATTTTGGACCATTCCCAGCGAAGCGCTTGATTGAGGTGATCGATACTTTGGTATTTTTTAGTGCCAACCTTGCTTTCCAAAATACTCCAGACACAATAGTCCAACGGATTGGTATCCGCAGATTTTGTAGCCATTGTGTGCTGGAAATGAAGCGAGGAACCTCATTTTGTAACAATTCGTGAATGGCGCGTGCAGAGTCCTGTTGGAATGTCCAAGGTCTGCGGCCATAATGTTTGCATGCCCAAGGTTTTAATACACACTCCAGAATATTTATAATTATTCTTTATTTGATAATATTCTGATGCAACGGTTGATTAATAGGGGCGGAGAATGACCGTCGGCTGTTATGGCGGCCCACACCATCACCCTGGCCGGCGCTTGAGTTCTGGTGGCCAACCGAAAGTGCACAATTTCAGCTGACCTCTTTAACAAGAAACACGATCATTTTGTTTGTTTACAAACTGCTGGACAACGAATGTTTTCCCATCGGAGAAAACTAAATTCCGCAGTTCACCACTTTCGGCCAAGCGAAGCAACTCTTTAGATCTTTTGAGTATATTTTCTTTCTGTTGCGGTGTAAGTTCTTGTATTTTTGGAATTTTAATGGCTCATTTTTCTAGGTTTTCCGAGGGGAATATTGCCATATGTTCAGCTCACGAGCCAGTTTTCGGTCACTGCGACGCGGGTTTCGATGAAGTCGCTTCTTTACTTTTCGAACCACTTCTGTTGATGTTGCTCTTCCGTCCACTTCCTTGACTTCGATGGTACGAGACACAAAATATTTATTCACATTTAAATCCTGGAGTGCTTTAACGATAGCCAATTGTGGTTTTCCAGCCAATTATAAAGAAATCACACTATCACGCTTGAATTCCATCAGGAATAACTTTTTTTCTGGAAAATTCTCACCAAAATTATTTTGTACGCTTGTAAACAAGATAATGAGCTGTCGCTGGATTAATTTTAAAAGCTGTCGGACGAGTGGCTTATAAATGATGGCAAGCTGAAGTTGGTTGCAGTATTTTCATCTCACCCTGTATAATGACTTATTGATCAAGCTTCTGGGCCTTTAAAGGTTCGGGAAATGTTGGTCTATCTATTTCATATCCCACCTAAGCCAGATATAAATATTACATGTAAAAATATTTTAAAATTTGTGCGATGTACCAGTTACAGTGGACTAGGTATACCCTTTGTGGAGGAAGTACTTGGTGTATATTTTCTGTTTTCGCACCTGATCGTGCCTAATGAAAAAATTAGTATTTTTAAAGTTGGATCAAAATCGGATGATAGTTTCCCATTCTAAGAAGCAAAATATTTTATTTTGAAAATGTCGTCATTTTTTAGAGGGGGGGGTTATTTTGCCTATCTTAGAACTCAATGTAAGTTTGATAATAATATTAATATAATATATATTACGATGTTACAAGTTTGGACGAAATCGGATACTCGGACACCCCTGGATCGACTCCAATTGTCCCGAAACGGATTTGATTCATAGACACCTATGGTTTTAAACCTTTATTTCGATGAGGCTCCTTTTGGCCGTATCAAATGATATATAACCTATGTATCCATATGGCTGAGAGTATTATAAGAATGTTCTTCAATGTTGATAAAAATGGACCTACCTTGTCATATTAGCTTCAAGTAAAATTAGTATGATAAGTTCGACAATTTATATTTTTCAAACATTATTATTATAACTGTAAACTTTTGATGAAGCAAAGTCATACTCACCTAGATGTATGGTGGCGTTGACACCATGTAATTCAATGCATTCACAAGTTGTCCGACACCATGGATTAACTAAAAATAGAAGAAACAAGAAAAAACCACACATGAAATATTATTTCTTCACACAAGTTTAAAATTACTTTAATAATTGGCAATAGGGGCCAAACACTGAAATGACAAAGCAACAATAATTATAAAACGTTATTCTTACATTAACTGTAATCAAGCCATAATTGTGGGTGCTAATAAAATTAATTATTTTCTAATGAATTCAGTGGAATTGATAATAGATTAGGAATGACGATTTTTTAAAACAAATCGACATTCTTTGTTATTATTATTCTTTATAGTTTATCTTTTTTCGGTACAAATTTTCTTTTGGGGTAATTAATCTTTGTTTTAAAGCAACACATTTTGATAAGGCATTTTTTAATCAAACAAAATAGTTCTGGAACTTCGTGCGAAAAAAATAAGCCACCTGTCATGCCACAATGAAATAAAAACAGAGTGGTTGGTATTTTTTTTAGAACAATATTTGTTTAATAGTTATTGATAAATTTAAACAAATGTGTGTGTGTTTCAATAGTTAGAGCCAATAGAGTTAGAGATTTTTTTCTTGAGGGGGAATGGGAATTGATCAATTGAAAATATTGAATTTAAGTTCTAAAAAAATTGGGAAGTGTTAAATTTTGTTTGGAAACGAGGGTTCCCAGGAGCTGAGCTGAATATTTATTACCTTTTCAAATAAAATTTACTTTGAAAAGGAAACATATAAACATCGAAAGGATTATAAAAACAACTTAAAAATAATCAATCGGTTCTACCGACAGACCCTCAGACCATGTTCGATTATTTGAGTATGTTTAGACTTCTGTTATAATAATTCAAATTGTTGACCCCCTATGGAATGTGTTCTAAAAAAAAATGGGCCAATGTTGTCCATTTCGTATTGGACCTAAATAAATACGGTATAAATATTGCGATGTGTCAGGGTTGGACTATATTGATAACTTCCTTCAAACAAGAGGTTCGCAGACATATATATTTTTTTCACAACAGATTTTGTATTAGCAAAAATGTTTTATGTGTGAAATTTGAAGAGAGTTGGCTGCTAATTTCGGCCTTCTTTGAGCGTTTCGTTTTTCAAAATCTTGAACCCTATATGGAGCAGGTAGTAAAAAAAAAGATCCGATCTCTACCATCTTTATAACAGGTCTTGTGTGGTTGGAAATATTGGGATGTACCAAGTCTGGAATAGAATCGGATGTTAATTTCACTTTTTAGGAGCTTCATGGATATTCAACATTTTAAGCCTTTGTGGGGGAGGTACCAGATGAAGTAGACCGATATACCCCATCTTCACAGCATATCTTGAGTTAGTAGAAATAATTGGATGTGTAAAATATAAAGAGAACGTGGTTCGGATATAATATACTTTTTGGTTCTTCAAAAAAAATGACCCTTTGTGGGAGAGGTACCAGAAGATATGGCCCGATCTCTACCATCTTTATAACAGATCTTGTGTTGATGATAATATTGAGATGCCCCATGTCTGAATAGAAACTGGTGTTAATTTCGCGTTTTATGAGCTTCATGGATATTGAAACTTTTCACCCTTTGTGGAGGAGTTGCCAAAAGAAGTGAGCCGATATTTTCCATTTTCGCACCTGACCTAGCACTAATGCAAATATTCTTACTTGCAAAGGTGGAGCAACATCGGATTATAGTTTCTCTTTCCTTGCAGAAAATATAGTTTTTTTGAAAACTTCAACCTTTTGTGGGGGAGGTACCAGAAGGAGTGGATCGATATATTTCATTTTAACGTCAGACCTTGGGTTAATAAAAATATTGGGATGTGTGGAATTTGAAGACAATTAGGCTCTTACATCACATTTTATAAGATTTATAATTATTCGAAATGTTGACCCTTTGTGGGGGAGGTACCAGAAGAAGTGGTCCAATATTGTCCAATTTCGCACCTGACCTCGCACACTGATGGAAATATTAGGATTTGCCAAGTTGGAGGTAAATCGGATCATCCTTTCTCTTTCTGTGCAATAAAATATTTTCTTTGAAAACTTCGACATTTTGTGGGGGGGATATTGTTTACGAACTCGAACTAATTTTGATGAAAATATTAGGATTTGCAAAGTTGGGGCAAAATCGGATGATCTTCAGTCTTTCCAAGAAGCAAGACATTTTACGTGAAAAATTTTAACTTTTGTGGGGGGAGGTGCCAGACGGCGTGGGCCGATATCCAAACTCGATATCACTTTGATAATAATATGATGTATCAAGTTTGGTCCAAATCGCATACTCCCTTCGAGAGCTATGGTGTGCACCAGCCAACCAGACAGACAGACGCATGGACACCTCTAGATCGAATTCAAATGTTCTGAAACGAATTTGGGACCTAGGATCTGAAACCGTTATTTCGATGAGGCACGTTTTGGCCGTATCAAATAATATATACCCTCGGAAGTCATATGGCGGAGGGTATAAAAAAAATATTTACCTCAAAAAAGAGAAAGGATCATCTGATTTTTTTCAAACATTGTAAATCCTAATATTTGTATCAGTGCTAGGTCAGATGCGAAAATGGTCAATATCTGCTTCGCTTTGAAATAATATGTGTATGTACAGCTATATAGGAACTATATCAAAATTTGGATTTATACAGACCGTTCTATGCATGGATGTTCCCTGCATACTAGAAACACAAATGTCAATTTACAGCAAATTCGGGCTATAATTGTGACCTAAATGACCAAATATTAGCAGGAACACTTATATGGCGTCTTTGGCAAAACGTGGACTTATGTAGCCCATTTTCAATACCAAAAGCCCTGCAGATCTTAAACATTGCTGTGTAAAATTTTATCAACCTTCTTCACTTCGTTCGGAAACTAGACGGAGATCTCTAAATCGACGGAGAATTTTATACTGACCAGGAATCCATAAACTTTGAAGGGTCTAAAAAGTATATTTCGAGGTGTTACAAACTGAGTGACAAACTAAATATACCCACCACACTATGGTGGAGGGTAAAAAAGTAGGAAACTTCACATTTCTGTCAAGAGATTAATATGCCGTGTGGCATAAATTTAAAAAAATGTAAGGCGTAACCAAAAATGTATCTCTACCAACAATAGTTTCATTAAAAAATATAGTCCGTTACTTTAGTTTTCTAAAAATGTTTAAATTGCTTTTATAAATTCAGATAAGCCCACGAGAGGTTATTGCAGTTAATTGGTCTTACTTTCCTTTAAGAATTAAAAAAATACCCACCTAGCAATCAATGTGCAACCTACATTAACATAGTAAAGTGTGGCGATATGACGACATGCGAATAACAATTGGGAAAAAAAATAAATAAAAATGTTTTTGTGATTTGCAATGAACTAACCTAGTCCCGTCTATGAAAGTTGTCGCCAGTGTTCAACTGGCTTCGTTGTTTAAGAGTTTTTTTCAATTTCTATAGGTTTGTGCACAGTCATGTGTCAACAGGGCATTGGCACGCTAAATATTTGACTTTGGATGAAAATAAATATTGGACTTTAACTGACTGGACTGTTTTTGTTCATATTAATATAAGTATGCATAAAAATATAAGTATGTTTGTAGTAAAATATAATCATTTCTATATAATGCCGCTTTCATGATCAATAATCAGAAGCTGGATCTTCCACAGAATTTATTTCATCTTATCATATTAAAGTGAGTGCACACAAACAATTCAAGGTCGAAATGTTGGGCGAGTTATTAATGAAAAATGCAATTACAAGTAAATATATTATTTTAAAGATAAAACGTTGTTACAACAATGTTGTCAATAAAACAATCATACGCAATAATAAATGTCATAAATTCTAGCTAAAAATAATCTTTAAGTGGGACACTTCACTTCAGGCACGTTCCTTGCTTTTCGTTGTTTGCACTCCCAACTGATTACGAAATTGATTGCAGAAATAAAATTAAAAATCAATGCATCCAGTAAGAAATAGTAATAAATAAAAACCATTAGAAAAATTGTAAATTCGGCCGGGCAGAACATTGAATACCCTCCACCATTTGGTACAAATTTGGCAATTTTCAAAAAATTAAAATCCATTAAAAATTCTGTTAAAATCTTAAAAATACCGAATGTAGCCCTATATTAGGGTCTATACGACGACGTGGACCTGCATACGCAACTTTTGTCATAAGCCTGCACCGACAATTTTCTGTCATAGGATGTAGTATCCATTACGAACTTCAAATACAAAATTTGAAATAATTCCGATAAATAATGTCGCTAAAATCATCAAAATATAGTATATCGGGGTAGCGTTATATGGGGGCTATAGGAAGGCGTGGACCTACATGGCCCATTTTCAATACCAAAAGTCCTGCAGACATAATACACATTTGAGTAAATTATTATCAACTTAATTCATTTCGTTCGGAAGCTAAAGTGATTCCCACAGACGGATAGACGAACGGACATTGTTTAATCGACATAGAATTTTATGCTGATCAAGAATATATATACTTTGTGGGTCTAAAATGTATATTTCGAGGTGTTACAAACGGAATGACAAATTTAATGGTGGAAAGTATAAACATACTAATAAAATCTAAATAAAATTATTTGTAAGTTATTGAGAAAATAAATTAGCAAAGTGTATATGCACTTCTGAATAATGGGATATTCAAGCTATGTTCCAAAGATGTTAAGACAAAAGATTTACATTTTGCACCTTCCAAATTAAAAATCGTTACAACTTTGATTATCAAAACATTACCAAGGAATGGCGCTCAATAAAAGTACTCATTATACCCTCAGCCATATGGCTACAGAGGGTATAGACAATTTGATGTGGTCAAAACGTGCCTAGTCTAAGTAACGGGTTTAGACCCTAGGTCTCTTTGAACCAAATCCGTTTCAGAACATTTGAAGTCGATCTAGTGATGTCCGTCCGTCTGTCTGGCTGGCTGGCTGGTGCGCACGATAACTCTCGAAGGGAGTATCCGATTTGGTTCAAACTGGGAACATCGTAATATTTTTGTCAAACTTAGATCGAGTTCGGAGA